CGCTGACGCCATCCACAACCAGCCACGCTTCTGAGACATCGGTGGTCGAAAACCTGAAGACGCCTCACATCATCTACGCGAAGAGGCCATGTCTCGCACCCATACAACAACACAGCCTTTACTGTAGCCTGGTACACACGACCCTTAAGATCCAGTGAGATGCCTTTCTGACGCCACAAGTGACGCAAATTGGCAAACGTGATTCGAGCCTTTGAGATTCTTGCACTGACTTCATCAGACACACTTCCGTCAGAGCTAATGCAACTACCGAGGTATGTAAAGTTTTCCACAATCTCTAGTGGTTCTCCTTGAATTGTAAGGGATATGTTCGCAGATGGCACGTTCTGAAGCAGGACTTTGCACTTCGAAGGTGCAAGGCGCATGCCAAATGATGGTATGATGGCGGTCAGTTTGTTCAACAGGGCTTGTGCTTCGCTAAGGTCTTCAAAGATGAGGGCGATGTCATCTGCGTACTCCAGATCGACAAGGCTCTCGCCAGCAACAGTTTGAACACCGGAGTTCTTGAAACCGTCCAGTGTTCGCCTCATTATTTCATCGATGACGAAGTTGAACAAGAATGGGGAGAGTGGGCATCCTTGTCTGACACCACTTTTTGTAGGAAAGCTTTTGGAGAGCTCACCATACACCCTCACCCGCCCAGAAGTATGTGAATATAGAGATCGGATTATGTTTACAAACTTCTGGGGCATACCTTGGAGTTTGTTAGATGGCACTAAATATCTGGTTGGTTTCCCAACGCCTCGACTTCATTCTAAAATATGCCCTCTTACCTTATTCACGTTACCAGTCCTTATTTCATAATGTCGAGGCTATCGTATAGTTGGTATCGTGAATCTTTTGCACTCACTAATGCGAGATGGCCCAAGTAGTTAGAGCGCGATTGGGAGGTCCGCGGTTCGAACCGACCTCTGTCTCTCGACTAACCCTGTCTAGGCTTGGGGAATCTGGCAGTATCCCAGCCCTCGTGCTTCCTTCGGGTGGCATGGCAGTTAGACATCGAAGCTACAGTCGTTTTTTTTGACTCACTGATGCACCATTGACTTGATTGGGTATCATGAAGAACGTTCCAGGTCTTTCGGGAAATAGATGGTAAAGTTCGATCCGTTCTTCATGGGTGGGGGCCATTTCTTCCCGTTCAGAAGCACTGACATTAAACTCCCAAAGAGGGATAGGTAAACTTTAGCTCAACTATTCCTCAAAACGGACCATTTCACTTCCGAGATCGTGGTTCTTTGGTAGGTAATGTCTGACCACGACTCAACAAGGTATTTGGACACCAAATTTAGCCTTACCGGTTAACTTATGTGGCACAACTTACTGGTGCTAATAGTTGAGAGTGAGAATACCAGACATGTTATCAAATAACATGTATTATTATTGTAGACACTCACCCGCCTAGGGATGTGGGGATAAATGGTGCGAAGAAGATTCGCAATCTCCGAAGGCATTTCTCGTCTGTGAAGTATCTGTAGAAGAGCCAACCTATCGCTGGAGCTGAAGGTTTCTTTGGAGTCTAACAATTAGACGGTTCATCGTCGGACAGCGTGTATCGCTGTTCAAGCATTTGACTTAATGTAGGGATGCGAGAGGAACGCTACCTGGTGCTATTGGACTTTGCATGATGACGTCAGACGTCACCGTATTATTGAAGACAGTAGCTGTGTTACACCGAGAGTAAGGCTTGTTTCCTCGGAATAGGAGCACTCGCTCCAAGCGCCTTTTTAATGAGAGTGTTATGAGTAGTTGCGCCCGGATTTTCGGAATGTTCCCGAGTAATCTGGCCAAGACAGAGTACGCTCACCACCGTCTTTATAATGTGCTCGTGGGAGCGGTCCAGCAGCACGATAACGCTTTGGTGCAGAAAGGCATATGGGTACTTCGGAAACTGAAGGAAGGCGACTCGAGTTGAGCGGGTTGAATAAAAGACAAGTGGCCAATTAAGCTGTTGTCCAAAGTAGTTGGCCCAGTAGTCGAAACACCGTGTCTTGTATACTGAATTACTAATGCTATTTTTGATGTCCCTACTAGCAGCCGATTTTAAAGTCTAACCAGCGGTTTTCATTTTCAACCTTTCCAGCATATCATGCGACTTCACTCTCTCCTCCAGTTTTTGTTAACCCGAAATAATGTGCGAAATACCACGGAAACCATTCAGTATTAATGATAGTTTATTGGGAAGCGGGTAAATCTTAATGCGAAAAAATCGTTTCACTTATTTTGAAGGCCGTGTCAACTAACTGGAAGACGTGTAATGTTTCCTATTTTACTGATTCCAGTAAACTACTTGGGAGCGTGCAATGCACATCTGTCCCAATCTCGAATTCGCTTCGAAGCGAAATTGAAAGACATTCAGTCATTCAGAGGTCTGCGAGAACGCATAAAAGCAATACAACAATGTTTAACGAAATGCACTCATTTGCATACCAATTTGGTTTTGACGGCGAACTCACCCGGGACCCAGCTCAATCTCTCGTTTATGATGTTTTTAAGCGCCTACCTGTTGAGCTCCAAGAAGGACGAAACCGGTCGTGGACTGCCGAAGAGTTCTCAACAACCTTATGAGTAGTGTACGTTCCAGTTACCCAAGGATTGCGATGGCGGTTGGATAAACTTAGGCAAAGTACGGTGGAAATGACATGGAAGATGGAACGTCCGTGACGTACGTGCGTAGTCTGTAACTGGCAATGTTGATGAGTACAGAATGTTCCCGGGCAATTCTGATCCACCAGAATCATGCACACATCGAGGGCAAGGATCGAATGCAATCCAACTCCCCTAATAGTGACTTCATAAACGGCTTGGCAATTGCCAGACAAACTAACAATGGGGTTCATATTGGGTAGGGTAAATAAGGCGGGTTTACAATGAACCTAATGAGGATAACATGGATAGCGCAAGCAACTGTTAGGGGAGGAAGGCATAATTCAACGTATTGGTGGAATGAACACTCCCGCATACTGACACGTCCGCCCCTGACCCGAGGGCTAATCGCGAAGCATTTCATTTAGGGTACCTCGGAAAAAGCGAGCAACTTAACCCGAGCTACGGATACAACGTCAACTATATTTGACTGAGGCTTTGGTTATAAGT